TTTAATATTTCTTAGTAGCCGCAAAGGATATAAATCCACTTTGTGTACATCAAATGCCTTTTGTGCTTCCAGATATTGCTTTGTAAAATGTACCAGTGATAATATTACAATTCTATACATAGACTGTGCAGAGAGCAGATCTGTGGGAGGGACCCAGCAGGCTCCACCCACTACAGGCTGCCTGCAGAAAACTACAGTAGGGTCGGAGACCAGACCAATCACCCTGCACAAAGAACAGCTGTGACCAGTCTTTGATAAAGCTGAAACCTGCACAGAGGCACATGTTTCATGTCAGATTACTGCACAGATCTGGAAGAAACAGAATACACAAGTCTTAAGCTGGCCATACACCTTACAATTAGCTGCAGATTTTCTGTGGTCAGATGGAAAAGGTGCAACAGATTCCTCCATCTACACTTATCTCCACCTGGGCCAATCTGTTGCACTTTTTCCATCTGACCACAGAAAATCTGCAGATAATTGTAAGGTGTATGGGCACCTTTATACTTAGGCAATATTTGTGTAACGCTGATGTAAGCTTGAGGATTGTCATGGGGTGACATTGCTCTGCTGTGGATGCTGTCACATAATACTAGAAAGGTATAGGTACAGCAGAGGCCTCACTGTCCTTGCCATGGTGGAATTGATCTCCCTTCCAGCAACACGGTGATCAAAACCTTGCTTGCTCCTCTGAAAATATGGGGAACTACGAGACCATTCACAGTATCACAGTAGTAGAACATACTGTCATTCTGTTTCATGTTATTGCTCTTGCATGTTCTCCATTGGTTAAAAAAAAAATTCTAAATGTGTTGATGTTGTACAATTTGTATTTGTAGTAATTAAGGAGAGTTTACTAAGACTGGAGCAGACAATCCGTCACGTTCAGTTCCTTAGCCAAGCGCTCAGTAGCTGTTTCTGCAGCAGCTTCACTGAACACATCGACTGCTAAGCTAAATGGCGGAGCAGTCGGTGTTAAACTCTGCCATTAATGCAATTTCTACTGTTTTACAGGGGGAAACCAAGAGCCATGGCATGGTTTTTCAGACTTTTTTTCTCGTTCATGCTCGACCACCAAAACATTAAATTGTAGGTTTCCACTCTGACTTAGTGATTTGATACATTGGGGCTCAGGCAGCCTTTTCCATCGCTGCCAGGTGTGCCCACCGTTACAATGGCCGCTGGTGCTATGACCCCCCACCTTCTCCTACTCAGCAGTGCTGACTTGCAGCACAGCCTTTAGGCCTCGTTCACACAAGATACAGTACGTTCTGGCCCGATTCTGGCCAGAACGCACTGCATCGCATTGCAGCCGGCTCACTATGTTATGGGACAGGAGGGGGCGTGGTGGTCCATTGAAGTGAATGGCACCATAGCCACGCCTTCCGGCCACAATGCGATCAGCCGCACGGGATCACAAGGCACATTATGCCTGCGTTCCGGTCATAACAAAATAGTGCTAGCAGCATCTATCTATCCTATCTATCTATCTATCTATCTATCTATCTATCTATCTATCTATCTATCCTGTGAGAATAACCTTAAAGTGGGTATTAATGTGTATGTAAAGTGGGTATTAATGTGTATTAAAATTAATGTGCATGTTTCTTTAGTTTTGGATGGAGTAGCGAAGGAGTACAAACCCTTGTCATGTTTTTCTGAGCTGTTGCTGATCAGGGGAAGTGGGTGAAATCTTCCAGTGGGGGCATTGGGGACTCTTGTCTGAGATATCCCCTCTCTTTTGCAGAGATCCTCTCACTTCTGGTCTCATTTTAATGAGCTGTTTAAATGTTGTTGTTTTTTTGTACATGGCCCATGTATTTACATAACTGGTGTAGTTTTGTACAGAACCCCTGAAAACCATGTGGAGTCTATGGGAGCGTGGTCTGTGGCATTATGTGAATGATATTGCTCTTCTCTGTAAGCAGCCGTTCCTCTCCTCTCCAGTTTGCAGATGTCTGAGCCAGATATTTGTGGTTTAGTGTGCTCAGCTGTGACTTTACAGGGCCAGCCAGTTTGGGACCGAGGTGTTTTTATATACAGTAACAGGAAGGAATAAGCTGCCTCGAAACACGCGTGTTATTGGTTAGGTGGTTGGATATCAAATTATAGTAATGACAGAGCTGCTTGGACTGGGCCAATGGTTGCAGTCAGAAATAGCTGCTCTGCCATTCAACACGTCTATCTAATCCTGTGTAAACACAGGCCTCGTGTCCAGTACGTGGACAGGCGCGGATTCAGCTGTGAGCATCCTATCACCCTCCAGTTGCCGAGGAAGGTCCCAGCAGTTGCTCGCTGGCTTTTGAGCTCTGTGGCAGCACGAAGACAGCAGGCTTATAGCTAATGTTTACAGACAGAGCTGTATAAATCCTGGCACCCAGGTGACCAATCTGCACACAAAATTACAAGTGGTCACATCCTTTTTGGTTCCTGAACTATTGTTTCCGGAAGCACATGTTCTTTGTTCCTAAAAGTGGATTGGGGAGGAATGACAAACGGTAGTTTAGAATCTCCATTGGGGAGATTTCTAATCACTTTTGTTTCGGTGAGAACAGCAAATTCTATTTTTTTCCCTCACGTAAAACAAAACGGCAGAAGTTCTACCCAAAATCTAGAGAGTTTGGGGGTTATTTATTTTTTTTGCTTTAAACACAATTTGGTCCTTTTCAAGTAGGTTTGCAAATTGCCTTTCTTTCAATTTGTTCCTGGAATATATTTGAAGGTTCAGAAGGAGCCAATTAGATCATGCGTTCTATAAACCGTGGTTTCAAATACCACCTTGGTGATAAGTCTCAGACGGAGACTTGTATCTAGGACAGCATTCTGGTAAATGTGTCACTTTTTCTAGGGTCATTCAGTTGCTTGCAGGGAGTTGCAAGAAGCATGAGCATCTATAGCAGGGGTTAGGCAACCTCAGCACTCCATCTGTTGTGGAACTACAAATTCTGTGAGGCATTACAAGACGCTGACAAAAACAGGTGTGACTCCCAGAGGCAGAAGGATGGTGGGATTTGTAGTTTAACCACAGTAGACGGGCTGAGGTTTGCCTACCCCTGATCTAAAGGAATGTTTTTGCATCACAGTGTCATTTCTGCTCGAATACCAGTACATTTTTCTTTTAATTATTCCAGGCACTTCACGTAAGGCAAGTACTGTATAGAAGATGTGGCCAACAGCTGACTTCATTTTTTGCCTTCCAAAATATTTCTAACTCTTCTGCCATTGTTGACTCACACCTGCCATACTATATGAGCAGATGATATTACTTTTGGAGCTTGCAGCTTCCCGTTGATTGCCCCCTTTGGACTCTCAATGAACTTGACTAAAGCTGGCCCTACACTGGCAATGTTTCTTGTAATCTTTTCCCCTGTAAGCTGCCTAAGCACCCCCCCTCCAGCCCCCAGTGCTTCAAACATGTCATAACAGTGGCATACAGTTCCATAGAGCTTGATTGTGTGGCCGATTTCAATTGCGTACATTTTTGCAGGGAATGATGTTAATATGAAGGTGGTTGAGGTTTATGGGACCCTTGTTTTACTGTGTCTTCATGTAAAATGCAGCTGACAGAAATTAGATATGATACATAGCTTGTTCGCTTTCCTGGAAGCAAGTCCCTTCAATTCCCAGAATGGAGCGTAAGGGATAAGTAAACGACTTTGTGCGTAGACGTAGCAAAGGTTGCAGATCACTATGTGCATCGCGGTCTTTGCACATTTATAAATGCTCATAGAGAATCCTTTCATTTTCTTATCTGCAAAAAAGTACAGAACAGATTTTTCTGGAGGAGTTAAACAGTTTTTGAATTGTCTTGTGCATGGTGATTCCAGTGGAAGGAGTGCCTATTCTTCATCCATCCATCAACACGCGTCTTTCTCCTTTATAGAGTCATTACTGCCTTGAAGTAGTGGACAGATGTGCCCTTGATGTGGTAGATTGAACATCTTGTGTGCATGTTTTCTGCTTCATGTGTATTTTTTTTCCTGCCTCTGGCTTTCCGGCCACTCTTTAAATGTAATCGCAAAGTGTGTGAGCGAGTTTGGCCTCTTCTGTCAAAGTTCCGTTGAAATATTTTGCTAGAGAACAGAAAAAAAAAATCTTTAGGTAGATATGAAATGCTTTGCAGGCCCGGTCTTGTACACAAGCTTGTTCTTATCTTCATGAAAGTGCTTCTTCAGTGTTTTTACGACGATGACTAGTAGCTTGGTAATTTTGCATTAGAATTCATAATAGCTTCTATTTTTGTCTCAACCCAACGCAGCCGGCATAACATGTAATGGACTTGGATGATTGTGATTTTATCACGTTCAGGGTTAGTTGTAAAACATCTGCCCCCATGTAAAGCTGAGTGGAAGCTGTTCGCGTGGAACTAGCACCCCTAGATGACCTGAGGAATATAGAAATTTCATATACTTCTTACCTTAGCGCCATTTGGGGCTGATAATTCCGTGTGAATGGTGTCTGCCAGCTTTATGCTAGGTTGTTTTTAATATAATTATAGCCATCTAAAAAAAAAAAAGAGATTCATGTAGTGAATACTATTACAGGTATGAAATGTCTACAGTTACAAGAATGTTTTTGCCAGAGTTGCCCTTTAAGACTTTGTAATTAAAGAAGCCAGTCTCTTGACAGGTTAACAGTGCCTGCCATTTCCCAGGAGTCAGGTAACCAGTGCACCTAAAACTTTCAGGCCATGAAGATAATCAGACTTGTGTGAGCAACCTTTTACTGATACTGAAATGAAACATGAGATGAAGTAGATCTGTAGAGTTCTTCCGTTTCAGGAGTAGAGGGGTCAGTTCCAGGACAAGATTCAAATATCAAGTTTTTTCTCATCTGCATTTCTTTTGTTGGATGGAGTTCAGCTTCTGCTTGTCAAGGAACTCTCTCCAGCTACTGTGAGTGTTCCTTTCACCCAGAGAGGAAGGCTTGTTGAATATGTCGCATCTGCGTTCCATTTTCACGTGCACAGTGAAACAAACCTGGCTCATTTCTCTCTACAGGACCGCAAACTGTCCAAGTCGGAGCGTCAGAGGTTCAAGGAGGAAGCCGGCATGCTCAAGGGGCTTCAGCACCCCAACATCGTCCGCTTTTATGATTCTTGGGAGTCCACTCTAAAAGGCAAGAAGTGCATAGTGTTGGTGACGGAGCTGATGACCTCCGGGACGCTGAAAACGTAAGTGCCACAGTTTTAAACGTCCATCTTTTTTTTTTTTTTAAACAGATATTCATGTACAGATGATTGCCGACGTTAGAATTTAGCCCCATTCATACTTGCAATGGAGTAGATTGGGTGAGCTCATAAATTGCTCCATGAGTCTCATGTGAACAGCTGTTAAAAGCCATTTGTTGTATAAAACAAGTGGGCTTGTACTTGGTTTATGATGTAAGCATATGTGCTGCTTAACCACATCCAAGTCTGTAATGGCTGTATAGCTCCAGGTTCTTTGCATATTCTTATCCCCTTCATGCCGGCCATACCTATATACACTATATTGCCAAACGTATTGGGACACCCTCCAAATCATTGGATTCAGGTGTTCTGTGAAATTTCCTTGCTACTAAATATTCCCTGGTCAACTTTTGGTGGTTTTTTAACAAAGTGGAAGCAACTGGGAACAGCAACTCAGCCACGAAGTGGTAGGCCACGTAAAATGACAGAGTGGGGTCAGCACATGCTGAAGTGTGCAGAAGTCACCAGCTGTCTGCAGAGTCAATAGCTACAGACCTCTCTCTCAAAACTCAATTCCCTCGAGGGCCACTCGACAAAAATGTTTCTCCCATGTCCCAAGATAGGCAGAGCCAGCTGTCAGTCACGCAGCTGGGCGGATCCGCACAGTAATGTCGGGTCCGTCCCAGCAGTGGCGCTCTCAGTATACTGCGAGCAGTAGCTCCCGGTATACTGAGCTTTGGGTCATGGGAGGACGCTAGTTTATGTCCTCCTGTGACCCTGAGGAGAACTATGGGGAAAAGCACTTACCCCATAGTTCTCCTTTAAAATAAAATGTAACTATATGCGATATGGTACTACGGACCCCAATACACACAATAAGGCCCCATTCATATCTGTAGGGTTTGGTGCAATTGGGGATTCCTGCGTCAGAAACTTGCATTTTCCTGCAGCAGGAATCCCTAATCTGATGTTTACACGTGGCCGCTGTCACCCATTCAAGTTAATGATCAGGTCACAGAAGTTGCATATAAACTCCTGCACACCGCATGTTATGTGATATTATTACATTCGGTTAGGAATTAATCACTCTCCCTGGACGCAATGATTGTGTATCCAGGGAGAGTGTTTTCTAACCGCATGTAATATCACATATTACATGCGGTGTGCAGGCATTTACATGCAGCTGCTGTCACCTGATCATTAATCAGGTGACAGGGCTTCCGAATGACTGCAATGCGTGCGCACACCGGCCCGTTCGGCAGTGATCTCTCGATCATGTTAAAAACCAGCCGAAAATCATACGATTCTCGGCTGGTTTTCCAACATGCTCGATATACAAAAGTCGTGCGACCGTACTTTAGAAACGGTTGCACGCCCTTCCATACACTGTACGAGAATCGTGCAGTGTATGGGCACCTTTATACTCTTTCCCTGCACATAAAATAATACACCCCCCATACACATGAAAAAATACCCTTTGGGGAAATATTAGGGGTCTAAACAGACCCCTGATATTTCCCTTTTAAAATAGAAAAAGAGATTGAGAGTCCTCAATCTCTTTTTCTGTGTCCCCTGTTATCAATGAACAGGAATCCTCTGAGTGTTCATTGATAACATGAGTACATGGCATGTTTACTAGAACTACAATTATGAATGAATGGGGGTGATGTAGATCACTCCCATTCATTCATAATTGAGGATATAGTTAACATACCATGTCCTCAATTATGTACAAACACTCAGCGATCACTGTTCGCGATCACCTTGCTTTTCTCTCTGACACGCTGTCACAGGAGGCTGATCGAGCGGTGTAGAGAGGAGAGCCCAGCCTCCTGTGACAGCGCTGTCTCCGCCCCCACACCGCTCTGCCGGACTGTGATAGGCGGGCGAGCGGTGTGGGAGGAGAGACGCCGGACGCTTCCAGCGCTCTCGTCCTGCAGCGCTCGGCCGGCTGTCACTTTCTTTTCTCCCCGCTGGAACAAAGAGCAGCGCCCAGCGGGGAGAAAAGAAACCAGGGATGCGCCGATCGATGTATCGGCCGAAACATGGCTCTTTCAAAATATAATTTCCAGTCTTGCCCCCTCTCCGGCTTACCGCGTTGCAGGGAGGAGGCTGTGAGCGGTGCCATGATCACCGATCCGTTTATCTAGTGGCGATTTAGTAATGTCTGCTGCAGACATTACTAATCTAATCAATCCTTTACATATACATAGGCTTGTGATCCAATTATACAGCATGCATGATTCTTGTATTGTTACTTTGGAGCCTAAAGAGTAGCAAAATGATTGGTGATTAAGTTACATATACGTTATGCACACTTCAAATATACTTTACCTGGGCCCAGCTTTCCTTCTAATTGAAGAATTTTAGAGACTTTAACTTTCATCTGTATTGGATGCCGAGGTACCTCATCAGAAAGTATGGTGGTGGAAGCTTTGGGAGCAGAGGTGAGGCTTGATTGGACCGGGCTTGGGGGATCGAAGGCTGCATAGGAGGTTCGAAAATACGTTGAGGTACATTCAGACCTCTATGTTCTGCATATTGTATGCAGAAATTCTTTTGGACAGGCCTAGTTACATCCTAATCCATCTTTTTTTTTTTATATATCGTCGCGCTGTTGAAAACAATTTTCACACAAAGGAAATTTCCACTCTTGACTAGTCGGTTACATTGCATGGGGTGGGTGTGATCATTCTCTTCAAATCTGGGACAGATTTGTGCTTGTGCAGTATGTAATTGTGTTGGCTCAACGTAATCTTCACAAATCACAAACAGACTCTTTGTGCATGTAAAGAGCAGCAAGGATTTATCAGATGATCTTCAGTGAATCTGCTTTTACGCTTTCACCCCCTGCCTTCTTTGTCTGAAAACACTCGAAACATTAAATAAATAAATTCCTGAGCAGGGTTCCATGAGGCAAGATCCAATTTCTTCCTGAGGGGTGTCAGTCTGGGGCAGCAGGAAGTTTGGAAGGAAATGGGTGGGTTTCAGCTTGTGCTTTTGTGCATTTGAGGTCTGCACACAGGGAAGGAATGCTGAGAATTTGGGACAGTAAGCTTACTCATTGTCAGCTCATCCATCATCTCTTCACCATGTGCTGAATTCCCACTCGGATAACCACAGGCTCCCTCTGCTGGCAGGTCTGGGTAATGTTTTGTCTCGGAGAATCAAATATATTGCGCAGCCTCAGAATTTCCCATGATGCTCAACATGGTAGAACTGAGTGTTAAAAAAAATTGTAAAAATTAAACTAACATAAAAAAATGCAACAAGTTTTTTTTTTTTAAATTCCCCCGCCCCCCACGTGCACGCACATACAACGCAAACACGTGCCAGATGCGCCTACACGCAAAAACAAAAATTGCGCCACACATGTATATCGTCACAAACGTCAGAGTGAGAACAATAATTCTAGGCCCATCAATCAGTGTTAGCGCTAAACTGATGAGCCGTAAAAGCGTTTTAAGTATCACCCATGGGAAATTTTGGTTATTGTAGTTTTTTGTGGTTTCACGCACGCACACAATTTTAAGGCTTGACATGTTTGGTATCTATTTACCCAACATGACCCCATATTTTATATTGTACCAAAAAATTGGGCAATATATTCTGTTTCTGTGCACCAAATGTAATTTTAGTGTATTTTATCCGAAAAATACTTTGATAAACATTTACGCAAATACCATGTGACATAAAAATAAACTAGCATCTTTTTATTCTACAGGGTCTCTGCTTTCAGAAAATATATAATTGTTTGGGGGTCTGAAGTTGTTTTCTAGCCAAAAATTCGGATTTTATCGTGTATGCAAATGTAAGAAATTGCTCCAGGGAGCAAGTGGTTAACACACTCAATAAATAGATTTTTATTTTCTGTGAAGACCCCCGAAGTGCGGCTATTTCTGGATTTGGTTGCTGTGGGCGACGGCGCGCTCGTTTGTTTACACCTGGGATGCAATCAAAGTGCAAGTCTGGTTTTGGAATGTGAGCAGTGTTTGCTGTGGATTTTTTAAGGATATGGATGTTTTTCAACGTCAGTGAAGCTTTCCTTTAACCCCTCCCCCTCTCCAAGTTCCGTCATCCTTCCCGTTCCAGGTATCTCTGTATGGCCATGTATCTCTGTATGACCATGCCCAGCAGCAGTGCACATCATTTGCAATGTAAAGTCCTCTCTGGGTTCTCAATACTTGCGAGGTGTGCATTAATCCTATTCTAATGGGTGAGCTTGTACGCATGGCAGCCTCCAGCCATCGATCAGAGTGTGGTTCACTCATAGGAATGTATGGTACCGTGGTTTAGTAGGAAGAGGACTGAAGGAGGCTGTGCAGCGCAAGGCAGGACTGTACAGTGAACATTGCTGCAACGTGAAGGAAGTTAGTTAAAGAAAAACTTCAATCTTACCGAACGCTATGGACTAGTCGGGATCAGTTTCCTGACTAATCTGCGGTGTTCTATGCCAATGCATGGTCCGTTTGTTCCATTGTGTCAGGATTGTGGAGTTAGTATGATAGTTAATGCTTTTATATGAGCACTGTGATAATAGAATCTGTGTTTCTATTATTAGATTTGGTTTCACTTGAAGCATATGTACATTTCCCGGTCCCTGCATTCAGCTGTACTTTCTCACTACTGGAACTGCCGTAGCAGATATTAGAGCAGTCATTGATGTGAATGAACAGTCAATGATGTCCCTTTTCAATGCTCTTTCTATATAGGATTGTGGTTTGAGGCCAGAGTGGCATGAATGAGTTAATGTTTGGATCTCACCAGCTGTGGGGCCCCATATAAAGTTACTTTATACTGTGCATTTACTTGCACAAATGCAGAAGTGGTCCCAGTTTGGCTGACAGACTGGTCTTGGAAGCCAATGAGTTGCAATAAACGTGATTTCTTGGTAGGCGGCCCAGTGACTTCACCCTGTTTGTCTCATTGTCTGAGGTCTGGGTGCCAGCTGATGCCATGTGTGGGCAGCACCCACTTGGAATATATTTGTTAGACACTTTGTTCTGAGAATAACTCGGCAACCTTACGTTAAAGCTTGACTCCTTATCAGATCTAATATTTTTTTCTACTCGTATTAAAATGTATATCCTTAAGGAGCTGGTGCTATCAGGAAGGCCACCTAGTTCCTGATCAAGCCCCGTATTCTAAGGAAAGCCCTGTGTAGTATTAGTATTAACATATGAACGAATTTTGCATTGTTTGCCTTTCTATTCAGGAAACCACACGTGACCCCTTTTAGGAGTCTTGTAAATAAGACCTGTCTTGCAGTGTGATTTTTGATTTGGCTTAAACCACAATTGCAATGTCAGAAACCTTCTGTTAGAGACCCCTTCATTAATTAAAAACATTGCAGGTAAAAGCACAGAAAAAGGAATTCAAATGTCCGCTTGTATTACAGGCAGTCCCCGAGTTACATACATACGACGACTCCTACTTACAAAACGGAGGCTATTACTGTACAGTAGGGGTAGTTGTAATGCTACCGCGCTCATGCTGACGCGGAGTGCCGGCCTTTTTGGGTCTGGTTCATAGTACTGTACGTACATTACAGGAAGTTGGCTCTTGTTAGACGTGCAGACGAGGGGTGCCCGCCTCTTCCGGGTCACTGTGAGGTTTTTACTGCTGTCTGTATCCTCATTAGAAAGATTTCATCTCGCTTCCTGTCCTTGAGACAACAGGAAGTGAAAGGAAATCTACCCCTAGGAAGGGAAATTCACTCCTGTAACGGTGATCATGGTGAAAAAATGTCTCCACTGAAGATTTATCACCAATTCAAAACAACAACTCAAAATTTTTCTAATCCAATTGTCACAGGGACAGAAAGTGAGGGGAAATATTCTGAACAGGGGCACACATAGCAGAACAAATGTTACAGGGGGTTAACCCTTCCCTATGCTATCCAAACCTGGGCTGGAGTTATACTTTTAAAAAATGTACCTGTTCCAACTTGCATACAAATTGGTTGAATTCGATGGACTTGTGTCTTTTTTCAACTAACTATGACTATGTAAATTCAACTTGAGAACAAACCTACAGTCCCTATCTTGTTCGTAACTCCGGGACTGCCTGTATTTTGCTTTCTATAAATTTGTAATTTACTTGCAGTGTACCTTTTTGAACTTGCTAGAAAATGTGACCACTCCTGGAAGAATAGTTTCGTAGCCTCCCTGCCTGCATGTCATAGTTCTTTCCTCGTCTGCGAGTGTCTAATTACGGTCTGTGCTGGCCCAGCTCTTTCACCCCTCATTTCATCACCTTTTATGTAACTGCGGGGGGAGAAGTGAGGGGGAATACTGTAAAGCAGGGATAGGCAAATTTCATCTCTCTAGCTGCAGAGGAACTACAAATCCCATTAGGCATTGCAAGACTCTGACAACCATGACTCCCACAGGCAGGTGCATGCTGAGATTTGTAGTTTTATAACAGCTGGAGGGCTGGAGTTTGTCTACCTCTGTCATAAAGTGTCACTTGAAATGAAAGCTCTGCGGCTGCTGACATAACATCCAAGATTACATTTAAATAACATACACTTGCGTTAAATGAATATATTCTCTTATGGGCAGATATTAAAATGAATGTATGGCAATGGGGGTCTCTTTATACCCACATACCAAAGAAGAATGACCTGTGAACTTTGCTTTTAATAAAACATAGGACTCCCACCTCTCATAGTCTCCTTGAATGCAGGATGATGACCTTGTATTGCTGTTGCTTATTTATTCAGACAGTATTTTGCAGCGCTTCCTATAAAGAACCATTTGCATATTTAAAGTGTACCTGTCTAGTTTTCAAACTTGGTGTGCTGTAACATCTTCTGCTTTCAGGTATCCTTTGTTTTCTTCTAGCACATACAGATCCTTCTTTGCTTATCAATCCATTTCTTAAAGTGTATGTCAGGGCAAAATTAAAAAAAGAAACAAGATGCAGCACATGCCTGTATTGCATGCACTTTCCTCTGCGTTTTAACCTTTAACCCCTTAGTGATCGAGGCCTTTTTTTCTTTGTTTTTTTTTGTACCCATTTTTATAATCCACATTTTAGGCCTGAAAATTACTTTAAACCCCCAAGCATTATATATTTTCTGAATGCAAAGACCCTGTAGAATAAAATGATGGCAGTTGCAAATGTTTGTGTTGCACGACATTAGCGCAAAGTATTATCAAACACCAACATTTTGTGAAAAGTGGGCTTAAATGCCTCAAAACACAATTTTCTAAATTAAAAAAAAAAACGATGAGGTTACAACGAGTAAATAGATACACAACATGCCCAGGTTAAAAATTGTGTGCGTCCGTAAAACTGCGACAAAATTCAGCACCCCAAAGTCCATAGACGACATTTTAAAAGCCCCCACAGGTCATCAGTTTAGAGATACGTGTAAATATTGGCCCTAGAATTATTGTTCTCACTCCGGCGTGCGCGGCAATACCCAACATGTGTAGCGCGATCGTCGTTCTCCTACTTACCTAGCTGCACTGGACGCGTGGTTACGTGAAAATGCGTGTGCTCACGGGGGACTTATTATTTTTACATTTATTTAATTTAATATTTAACTTTTTTTTTTTTTTTACTTTAATTGCTATCACACAGGGGGGCTTACAAGCCGTTTACTGGCCCGGAGATGCGATCTGGTGACAGCTGAGTCAACTGATCGCTTCTATTGTAAAGCCAACAGTCTGCGTCTCATTTGTAAACGGAGTACTGCGTCTTTAGCCCCCGGGAGTCTGTTTAAACGGGCCTGGGGACGTACTATGGATATCACTGGTCACTAAGGGGTTAAAGACCCTACAGAAAAATACCTGTTGATCTGTCAGAAATGCACTCCCCTCCTAAGTCCTGTTGTAGGCTGACGACACACAGCATGTTTGTGGACTGAGTGGTGTCAGCCCTGCCCTGTTTTATTTTGCCAAACTGTTCTGACCCACTTATTCTGCCATCTCCACAACATGAAGCCTAATCATTCTGTAGTAAATAAGAACTGGGAGAAGCCATTACTTTCTTTGAGACAACACGGGATGTGAGCACTCTGACATTATCAACAAGTATTTTTTGTACTTCTGCAGATGTAACACAACACTTCTAATGGTATATTTAACAGGCCAAAAGAGATTGTATAAGAGTTAATTTTTAGGTTTTAGTGTGTTTGTTATTGGCAGCTTTTACACAGTAGTGTGTACAGCTAGTTACAGCTGAAAACCAAAAACATTGGGGTATTTCTTGGCTGTATTTCTTCTCGCATACCTCCAGTTTATGCTCTATGGGTGTGTTTTTTACTTCAGGTATCTGAAGAGGTTCAAGGTGATGAAACTGAAGGTTCTCCGCAGCTGGTGTCGTCAGATCCTCAAAGGACTTCATTTCCTCCATACACGAACCCCTCCTATTATCCACCGAGACCTAAAGTGCGACAATATCTTCATCACTGGCCCCACAGGCTCTGTGAAGATCGGAGACCTGGGCTTGGCCACGCTGAAGAGAGCGTCCTTCGCTAAGAGTGTCATAGGTAGGTCCATGGAAATCCTTTCCTGTATTCTTTGTGTTTTGAGTCTCTTGTTTACCGCTGCCCTGAGCAGCCTTGCCAGTTTACTGTAACTACAAAATGGGTTTACCGGTCTCAGCGACCGGTGGTGTTAATTTTCTGCTCTGTCTAATTTTCATGTTTACTCTGTTTTGTGGAAGGCAGGGCTGGTAATAACCCCTTTCAGCTACAAGTCACAGTGGGAATTGAGCCAGTTTTCGCCAACATTGTTTATCTAAAAACCGCTCAGAATCTTGCTTGGCTGTAAGCGAGTTGCGTCTACGCAAACACACGAACAGCAGAGGGCGCCAGGAGGTCCGCATCTCTTGTGCAACGTCTGGATTAAATGCAACAGTCTACACAGAATGTTTAATTTAATAAAAAATCGCTTTTCAAATGAACGCCGATTCCCACAGATTTTCTGGGCTTAAAGTGGATTTACTTGGTTCAGTCTTCGATTTATTGAACAAGGTGACCTAAAACATTATCTACTTTTTGTTAGAAAGTGTGCACACTGGTTCTCAAATAACGGCAGTTGTCCTCTGTGGAGGTTGCATCTCCTGCTTGGAAGCTGATCTTCATTTTTAGGCCAGTGGCTAACTTTCTTTTTCAGGTAGCCTGAAAACCATGCTTTGAAATCTTTT